AAATATATATAAATGCGAGGCAAGAGGTCACGCTAACAAACAGCTTTGAGACAAGTTTGAAGTAGTCATTACAAAGTGATGATCCAGGACACAGCTGGTTCCATAGACTTGCATGTAGACCCATCTGTGTAAAGCTTTGGCAATCCCTCACTTCCTCGGTAACAAAGAATGCACACAATGCCTGCACATAGATAAGACAGTAGTTCACAAAGACTAGCACTAGGGAAGTTAACTCCAAGAAATCATCTGTGAAAACCTGTTGTACCAGCATGACAAACCCTAACATGGCTTCCTTCCAGAGGGCTGAAGAATATGACCCCATAAACTCACCCTCCACAGCTGTGGTGCACCCAAGGCAGAAACTTTACACTTTTTCTTTTCTCTGCTCTCCATGAAACTTAGCAAAACAATCAAAACCAACCATGCCCAGGCTGTTTGATTATGTCAAATGGGTAAAATATGTCCCACTAAAAAACACATCAGAGTGTGGTGGTGATTAAAAAAACAAACAAAAAAACCAAACAAAATCTCCAATAGGCTTACAGGTAAAATACCACAGTGAAAAACGTGGCTACTAACTCAACAGCCTCTGCTGGAAATATATGATGGTCGTAACACTTAGAATGGACAGAATTACACTGAAAAGGAGTGAAAAAAGCCAGTGGCTATTTCCAGTCTGCCTGAAAAGCACACAACACAACCCCCAGCTGTTTAAATTCAGCACCACATCGCTTGTGCTGCCTGATGCAATACCTTATGTAAAAACAGCACAGCTATACAATGAACAGCCCCGGGGCAGGGCAGACAGAAGGGATAAAATGCTGCATCAAACAGCACATGCCCCTCATTAGTGCTGCTGGGACTGCAGAGAATAGCCAGTGACAGCAGCCTCAATGCCTGCAACACACTAGAGAGGCATAATTATTTGGACAAACACCTTTTCCTCTCAGAGAAAATACCAGCCTAAAGCTTTTGGGAATAGGGAGAGGTTGGAGAGAAAAAAAGAGCAACTCCCTGGGGAAAAATAGAGACACCTTAGTGCCTTCTCCCTTTCTTGGAACAAAACAAAACAAAACAAAAAAAAAAAAAACACAAAAAAAAACACCCCTATTCGTTTTATTTGATAAGTATATATTCTGTGGTAACAAGGACAGCTCACCTCCATTATGGGCAGTCAGAACTTGCAGGACCAGTGTGGTCCATCACACATGATCTTTTCAGCTTTATGAGTTTTTGGTGTCCAGGCACACAGACTGGTAGAGAAAGATGCAGTATGAGCCCAGCTAACCCCAAGACACTTGGTGTCTAGGAGAAAATTGGGCCAACACTTCTGGAAAAGCCAAAACCAGGAGACATCTCCACCCAAGAAAGCAACACACACTGCCGCTCCTTCCCCTTCAAGGTGCACAGACAAATGGAAAGAAGGTCTGATGAAGCTGTTCAGCTCAGGGCGAGGAAACCAGATGGAGAAGCAGCCTGTCGTGAGGGAGAGGCTCAGGCTGCAGCTGATCATTGGCAGTACAACACCAACCAGCCAACAGGCTCCCACTTGTGAAATCTGTTGGCCCCATACACATAGCACCAAGAGGAAACACTGGGTACCCAGCTTTCCGAAGCACACAAGGCTTCAGCCTTCCACAGTTACACCTGAAATTACAAGATGAGAGCAGCCATATGGGGTTAGGTCAACTATTCATCCTTTCTGTGTCCTAACATTGGCCATAAGCAGAAGCCGGGGGAAGTTAGAACAGGATAAAAGTGGATTATATCCCTCCAGTTCTCCCTCAACCTCTCAGATCCTGACCCAGGCATTCAGTAATCCTCAGTGGCTTTTCTGTCTTTGCAAGTAGACATGACTGTCCAGTCCAGACCTGAGGGGCTGGTAAGAGTTTGATCATACCTAATGGCTACTACCAACAGAAGTTTCGGGTACTCTTAAGCAAGAACAAACCTCTACAGAAACAGAAGAGTTGAGAAACCTCACTGTTCCTTGCCACAGACAGCCACAAGTAAAAAGAAACTTCCCCTCTGTTTTATTTGCTCAGATGGAGAATTGCCTATCCAAGGACATACAGGGCATCTCTTTCCAGGTCACCCAAATCTTCTACACATTCCAGATCAGCCCTGTGAGAACAGGTAGGGATGGGGAGAGCAAACACCATCTGCAGAGGTCTGGAAGCAGCAGCCGATGGTGACAGACTGTGTCCCTGCACTTCAATGCAGCACTCCTCTCAGCCAGGCTCTGAACAGAACACACTCAGTGATTAAAAACTGTGCTGCTGCCTGTCGTCAGAGTTATAACCGCTATACTAAGAAGAGACCTCACTGAATGCCTCACTCATTTTTTTTTTTTGTGGATTAATTTCAGCAGTTTATAAAGTACAATCCAGGGGAGAAAGCAGTTAAACTGTAAAGCTAATTTGGCTGAGAACACAATACACTTGCTTTATCCTCACAGAAGGCAGCAAATACTTGCTTTGTTCAGTTTAATTGATAGTAGGTTCTACACGCTGCAGATATAAATGACTTTCACAGACTTGGCTTAACATCTAGAACAAAGAGACATCCGAAAGTAGAAAGCTACATTATTTGTGAAACAGTGTTGCATCCTGTATTTATAAACTGTATGTTATGTCCATACATCAACAAGAAGAGTTCATCAATAAGCAGCCTTAGCTCCAAGTTTCTGCAACTTCTGTTGTTTGGGGTTTTTTTTAATTCTTTACTTATGTTCACAATGGTCTCATAAGGATATAATTCCTTAGGATAAAACGTTAGGGTTTAGGAAGAAGGCCTAAAATAATTTTGGTATGTTTGTCTAACCTATACAACAGGCCTTCACTGTAACAACTGTCATCATCAGAGATTTTGCTGTCCTGTACCACTGCAAATATAGCAGGAGAGAATTCCACTCCTGCACAGTCTTCACTTTTCTAATAAATTAAACATGAAAGGCTATCCATGTACCATGCAGAGTGTTTCACCTGCATCAGCCTCCCACTGCTTGATCTGGAAAACCTGACATCCTAACCATAAACCTCCCACCTACAGTAGAGCAAGATGTAAAGGAAATGAGTCAAGAACTTTTCTCAGACTTAAGAACTTAAAGAGGAATTCACACATAGAGAAGAAACACCACTAAATTCTGTAGGACAAAACACTTAGTTAAGAGGGGAAAAAAAAAAAAAAAAAAAAAACAACACTATGAATTTCCATCCTTTCTCATAAAATGTGAAACTGACTTCTTACTTTCTAATTATTACATAGCTATAAAATAGCAGTTGTGTCATGAGTACAGTATCACTAAATACAAGAAAAATCTCTAATGACCAGTTTAGTCATCACCCCAGAAAAAAACAAGCAGGCTTAGAACTGAAGCAGAGGAAATTCAGATTATAGACTACAGAGTGAAAAAGACACAGTGAACATTGTGCCAAATTAATGAAAAATAAAACCAAAATAGAGGCTTTGTAAATGATCAGAGCACAAGTAGATTACTGCAAGGGCTGATCCAACAACTGTGTCACCCAGTCCATCGTGAAGCAGGAAGAGACCAGATGGACCAACAGAAGATGTTCAATCAGATGGTCCCAAACAATTATATAGTCCATGGTTTAAAACATACCAGAAGTGATAGAGATCATCTTGCTTCTATTCCCATCTGTCCCTGGCTCACTCAGACAAAGAAGCTTCAGAACCTCTTTCCAAAGGGATGTACTGCTGTTCCCAGGCATTCAGAAAGGTATTAAATCCTGCAAGCTTTGAGCTCACCTCCACAAAGTACTTTGAAATATGCCAGATTTCTTGAAATAGAAACTACAGATACAACACCAAAATCTTGTACAGTTCTAACAAAATTACAGCCAAAGCCAGCTATGGCCGGAATCCACATGCTCAAGGTAAGCATGCCTCTTACAGGACACTGAAGAGACATAGAAAATAAGTCACTAAAATTGGTTGTTGACAAACACTTTTTTTCCAAACAAAATCATGGCTACAGCTTTTAGTAGCCATAATGTGCTCCATTTGCATCTTCCACTGTGTATCAGACATAGCCAGCAGTACTCTTGCTACTAACTCAGCTAACCTGCACTACCTACACTACTGAGTCCGAAACTAACACCCATAAACACATCACAGCTCTAACACATACACAACATGGCTTGTTTCTTACTGCAGACCACATAACCTGTTTCTCAGCTTCTCCTCAGCATGCAACCTCCCTTCCACAGACTTTGCTGTTGACATTCCACACAGAACATAAAAGGTTACAGTCCTCTGCTCTAGGGAGCAAGTTGAAGGAAGGGAGATGCAAAAGGAAAGAGACCAGAAAAGAAGCATCAGGATCATCACCTTGTAAAGCTGTCTGCATCAACTCAAGCTAAACAGAGCAATCAGCTTTATGCAAATGGATTGCACGTGGACAGGGTGCACAAGAGAATGGTTACCCATATGGCAACAGGTACCTGTTCTCTTACATCTCCAAAGTTCCAGACCACTAGGCATGAGGCCTGTAATCCATTCCCATGCAAGTGGGATATTTTTTTCAACGAGCACGTTGGTATCATGAACAGGAATTCTATTTTGCTATTTTAAGGGAGACCATAATCTTTAAAGACAGGCCTTGTTCATTGTACAGACACCCAACAATACATCCAGTAAGGGTTTCCCCTTTCTAAAGGACTGCTGTTTCTCTTTCCCAACTCGTGTTCTGATTTCCCTTCTCTGCAGCAGTTACTATGACCAGGCTATTTGCAATTCTACATGATCCATTCCTCCAGCTTTACCGTCCTATTTCCTTGCAGACTGAGCTCCCTGACCTGTGACTGAGCCTTCCACTATGATCAGCTTCATTAGGGTTCCCACAGCCTCTCTGTCCAATGAGCATAGAAAAATCCTGAGCACCTTGTCATGGTTTCACTTTAACAGGTTATTTTTCCCTAACTGAGATGGGCAGGAGGCAGTAGCTCCAGAGATGCCCTTCAGATGCCGAGGCTTACCTGCAGACTTCAAAAGCAAGGTTGGGGTGGTTCCCCCCTCCCCTTCCATTTTTACTGTTCCCTTCGACATTTGGAGTTCAGAGGGATGAATGCACAGGCGATAGAAATAGATTTCTCACTTGGCCATCTGAAGGCACCTAAAGAGAACAACAAATTAACAGTAATGGGTTACAAGAAGTAAACTGGGTTTTGCTCATCTGCAGCCACGCTCTGCCCCCAAGGGACAATTTTTATAAATACAGTATTGTTGTTATTCAAATGTTTTCCCTCAAATCTAGACTCTCCTCTTTATCAGTGGTAGGTACTGTTATCAAAGTAAATGTAAATGAGCCATCACAACAATCCATGGAGCAAAGAGCAGACTGAAAGGCTCAAGACGGTCAAGCTATTTGCATTTCTGTTGTAAACGGCTTGCACTGCAGCTCCAAAGCAGGCCTTATGTAATCTATAAAATTCTTATTCATCTTCATAAAATTGTAATTTTACACAGCAATAGTGTAAAGTCAGTTAAACACATGAATGATTTTATAGGTTTCCAGAGAGCTGATGTCATTTGGGAACGGCGTACTCCATTTATATGTTATGTCTGAAAAAAACACAGTCGGATACAAATCACAAAGAAACATAGTGTGTGTTTTATAAGTTCATAAATCTAAGGCTATGGATATGCAGGGACCAAAATCTGAATCTTTAAGCACCATAATTTATAGATTAAAAAATAATCCATTTTAACTTCACAGTATTTAGAATATGAGCAAAACATGCTGCAGCAGAAACAAATATATGATGCACTAAAATAGCACTAAGTAAAAATATTTTATTATTGTTGCTCCATTACACAAGTTCAAAGGCAGTGGTCTAAGCATGTAACAGTGTACATCAGTAAGAGATGCTGTGAGAACAGACACACAGCACGTGCAGTGCCTAACATATGCTCTAGTTTGGCTGATCATTACATAGGTTTCCTTTTTTCTCCACCCTTTTTTTCTCCATCAAGAAGGATCAGGAAGAACTAATGCACAAGAAATGGTCTCGATTTCCAGCTGGTGAAATGCAGTGTTATATTCTTCATAACTGTACATTCCTCTGCTGCCTATTGACACGTGCTGCTCAAATGCATAATGGCAGAAGTTTAATCAGCATTTATCAACAGCCAGGAAGCATGCAAATACACAGAGCAGAAAAGCTAACATGCTTCCAAAAAATTAAAAAAAAAAAAAAAAAGGTACAACCTGGACACAATTTTAGGGGGGTTTTTTAATCCAAATTTTATCCCTGCTCCCCAGCTACATCTGTCTGTTCTGCAGCAAAGCATCTCTCTGCACCAGCAGCTGAAAGCTACGTCAGCCATGCTTCAGTGGGACAGAAAAGTACCTTCTGTTTAAAGAAATAGGAAATAAGAGTAATCTTCACAGGTAAAATTTAACACTACATTGCCCACCAGCTTCTGGGGTAACATATATGATTATGCACTTGGAAATGCGGTGAATTATGGTAAAGGTTTGGGTATTAGAGGCACCTGAGACATGGCCACATCACACTATTACACACACACATGTACCTGCATACCCATAAACACTGACAGAAGGAACCACCAGTGGTTTAGCATCAGTTTAGAGAATCACACTATGGCCAGAATACAGGGCCACTTCTGGCACAAATATGGTAGACCCCTGGACACAGCAAAAGTCCAGAGAAGTTGTGGCGGCCCCCTCCCTGGAAGGGCTCAAGGCCAGGCTGGACGGGGCTTTCAGCAACCACGTCTAGTGGAAGATGTCCCTGCCCATGGCAGGAGGGATGGAACTGGATGATCTTTAAGGTCGTCCAACCCAAACCATTCTATCCTTCTATGTAACAGCCATCAAAAGTTCTCAGTGCATCAGGTGGACGCTTAGTTGCTCTGCTGACTTCAGTTTAAACCCTAACCCAGTTTCAAATTTGAAGACACTGAGAACACAGAAGACATGTTCAAGGCCTCACCAGATGCTAGAGCAAGCAGTCAACCCTGTACATCTCCCACCTTGGTCTTTGCCCCAAGCCTGTTTTACTCTTTACAAATGCTAGTACTGTTTCATAAGCTTACTTTGAGGAGAGGTTAAAAATAAGTAATACATAATCACAGAATCCATTGATCAGAAGCCATCCTTACTCAGCTCTGCACTGCTTGCAGTCAGGAAGACCCTCTATTCAGGTATAGCTACAGGTCTTCTGGGTACAAACTGAGCTCCACCAAAACACATGGAAACATTCTTCCTAGAGATCAACATATTCAAGCACACGGTGTTCTGGCAAGCAGGTATTATATCCATTTTATAAATAAGCAAAGTGAGACGCAGATGAATTCACATCTCTCATCTCAGTGGTATCTCAGGTAGCACTTTTGGCCCTGACTTCCAGCTGCTTGCTCTGGTCTTCCAGTGTAATGAAGTACAAGCACAAAGACCGTTTCAAGTAAATCAAAACACAGGGTAGACACAAGGGTGTCCTTACCTTGGGCCAATTAGAAAAGGCCCACTAGCTCTGTAATGATCGGGGCTGCACCACAACTGGTAATCCTCCCTTTAAATAGAACATAGTTATGACCTGGATAGTCATTTCCCTCCTATTTTCCATCCTTCCATCTTTATCCCACAGACACCCACATGGCCACTATTTTTGCTCAGTTTTAAGAGCTCATTAACATTTTCCTTACTATCACTTTCATTGCAATGCCAAATTAACAATACTCAGATAGTAATAGTAGCTTTTATAGAAGAAAGCTTTCCATCAGTAGATCACCAAGCTCCAAATGGCAGCCTGCATTGTCCCCTGTTTAGAGATGAGGAAACAGATCCAGGAAAATTGACTCATGCACCATCCAGAAAACTAATAGCAAGACTAGCCATAGAAACTTGATATTCCCAGTGCCCCATATACTATGTTCTCAGGCTGCTCTCCCAGTAAAGTAGCAGCTTGCTTTCTGTTCTCACAAATCAGACTAACATCAGGATACAATAAAGAGCTTTCTCTACAATTCAAACCTGTTCCAGTCACTGCTGTCGTATGCTCTGGCCCAGATCTCCATTAAGTTTGAAAAAGCAATTCATAATAAGAAGCTTAAGAGCTAGTTTAGAACTGAAAACAAAGATTTAATATGGAACAAATGCTAAAATAAACTACAGTTGGTATCTTAAGTCTAAAAGAAAAAAATACACGCACAAGAAAATAAGTTTAAGGTAAAAGAAAACGTACCTATATATTACAAATACCAGTACATACAGTTATAAATACAATATATTTCAGCATTTGCTCAGTGAAGTAGGGCATCAAACATTAACAACGGCCCTTAGTATTTCAAGTGCAATCTCGCTTTCAGGAGCAACATGTTACAGAAGTTTTGTGCAGCACATTCATAACTACTGTAGGTAAAATAAATTACATGTTTGGATTCAATTATCAGACCCTGATGAGTCATAGCCTCCATTTGGCATTTATTTAGGAAAAAAAAAAAAAGAAAAAAATTGGAAGCCTCTAGTGCCACGAAGAAAATTCAAAGGGAGGGTGAATTCAAGCATTTGAAAAAAATGAGAGGTGCATTAATCAGCAGGTTCAACCTCCCAACGGCAGGAAAAAAATTTATTGCTTGTCTCAGGCATCCTTCAATCTGACCTGCAAAGCAAGCAAATTTAAAGTAACATCCAGTACCTTACTGAGGCTCAGAGGCTGTGAGCCAAAACAGCCTCCATTATTTGCATTTCCCACACACATATAGACAAGTGTCTTAACCACATCAAGGTCATTCAATATCAAGACCATTAAATTAAGTTTTCCTCTAAAATGAGGCCTCATTATCAAGACTAATTAAATGATGACAAAACCTTCTAAACGGTTCCAATCCTCAGCACAGGCTTATTCATGACTAGAGCATTATTTAGAAATGAAGTTGATTAAAACTATTAAAAATTATTTTAGTTTCTGTGTTAAAGGTCTCCTGACTATCAACACTAGAACTGTATAAAATTGCCACAACACATGATTCTTCTATTTGCACTTTCACCACATGCTTTTTATTGATCTTCTGGACTCACTAGCTTCCCATGTTTGGCAAGTATCTATCAATGTTTGTAAATCACAGTATATGGAAAAAATGCATGATGTAATGCTCCATTTTACCTCAGGAACATTGGTTCCACAGGGGCAGACTGTACCACCTACAGAAGCTTATTCCTGCCATCAGCATTTTAGACTTCTGGTTCAGATATGACATCAAAAACCTTTTGGGTGGTTCTCTGTGTTACAACACAAACAAACTAATTTCTTAGCGGCTCATACAGTTAGTGTTACCTGGACAGCACCAGGCACACAAGCAATGCTTTGGGAACTCATCCAGGACCTGAATCTCCATTCCAAAGTACCTGATAAAGTTAACAGAGGAGCACAGATAATGGGAAGAATACAAAAAGGCTTGCACTCCTTTCCAGAGAAACCTCTGGGAGTCTTTGACCTCAGCAGGAAGCTTCTGATAGCCTATTTGCAGTCTCTGTGTGGAACAGAAACTGTTCCTCTTCCAGCTCTTATCCATGGCTACGCATAAAGAAATGTCCCCATGAGCTTCCCCTTCTCCTCTGAATCTCCATTTCACCCGTAACACAATGCAGAGATTTGTGTTGTGTGTTTGAAATGACACTGAGAGTCCAATAGTGTAAAATCATTTTCAATATGCAAAGGGGTAAGAAACTGCAATACTTAGGTAAGCACTCAGGGTCTTATGACTTTCTCCCTTTTCAGAGCAAGAATGGATTATGTGAGTGAGAAGTTTCTTCTGGTGTCATTGCAATTAAAAAAGAACCTACAAAATCCCATTTGTCTGAACACTGCAAACGAGGATAACCAGATCCTTCCTACCTCAGTCACCTCTCCCAGTCTTTGCCACGAGCCCCGTACCCCAGACAAGCTCTCTATCTCTACCTCCTCCCAGGGCTGTGCTCACCACTCGGAGCTTCCTCATCATTAGCTTTACCCACACAAGTAGAACTCAAACCCCAGGTTGCTGCCATCAGTCTTCTCAGTCTAATTTAATTAGCCTTGCTGTAAATGTCCCCAGGCCTGACACAGCAACTTCCTACCATTTCCACCATCACACGTAGAGTGAAATGGC